TGCAAGCACCGAAGTAGCGCGACTTTGTTCTAAATTAATTTTTCAAAAAGTCATGCATCCATTTTTACTGGAGGGGGTGGGGTCATTTGTTAAAAAAAAAACCATTGCAAATAATAAAAAAATGACAATGAAAAAAATATTTATTAAATTTATTAACCCACAACAATTGAAATAAATGAAGGCAAAATTGAAATCATTAGGGACTAACATTATCCATGTTGTCAACTGTTTAGGCCTTTACAGTTCAAGTTTTTTTTTGGGGGGGGGTGGTTAAATAGGTAATGTGTCGAATTGTGTTTTTATTTAATATATTTTTTAAAATAATTATTTAAAATGCTACTTGTGAATATTTTCTATCGTTTTACTCACATACCAATCAATATTATAAACGTACGTAAAATAGTATGCAAACGACTTGCTCTCTCGGGTTCCACATCGTTTGTGGTCGATTCTTCTTCGTTGGCTTAAAACGAAAGGGTTGTACTCCCAAATATTTTGTATTATTGCACAGCAATGAATCCTCATCAACACTTGACGATCCACAAGAAATTTCTAGCGATTCTTTCTCTAATGGACTATCAGAATTATCCGAAACAGCGTTTTCTGTCATTTATTCACCTCTCACTTGAGGGAAGCGAGACACACTGACTTGTGACGTCATCGCACTTGATTGCATTTAAACCGGAAGTGACATTGTAAAGGATTATCGATCGTTTTCACAGGTGCAAATGCAGACGTTCAACATTGATTATCTTTGAAACGGTGGTACCGATTTTAGTCGGGTTTTCGCCAAAATGTTTTATAAAGTAGGTTTAGTGAATTACGTTGATGTGTAAAAGTACCGTGGCCTATCTTTAAGACGTCTATGGTCGAGCCTCTTTATTGCAAATCACTCCTTTCCTCCTCCAAAATTACCTCGATAAAAATAGGACCGTATGTATGTGTAAAAAGGATACACAAGATTTCGGTTGGAGTTACATGTATAATCTAATTGAACAAAAAACCAGACGCCTTGGAATGGAATACTAAATACTCTAAGTCTCTGGCTTATCCTATGTTTTAGGACATTCGCAATACAACAGGACAGTGACTTTATTTCGACCCGTACATAAACGAGCCTTTACATGTATAGCACATCAATGTTGATAGATATGTTGAATCTAGATAAATAAGGACTGAAAATAAGAGTAAGATATAAAAATTAGAAAATAATGCACATATTGAAACTATACATACATAGTACCTCGTGTAAATTTGCAGCTTGCAAACATGTTAATGCATCATTAGACTGAGAAGGGGGCATAATTTATCGGTAATTAAATTTTATATTAACAAGTGCTTGAAGTATATGAATTTTATTTGAAGCAAAAAAAAAGTCCACATGTAGTTACACATTTATAATTATATACATGTACCTTGATTTACAAAAAGAAAAAAAAACATTTTGATAGTTTTGTTTCGTTTCGTTTCGGCAGGTTTCGTTTTGATTTCGTTTCGTTTCGTCTTGATTTCGTTTCGTTTCGGTAGATTTCGTTTCGTTTCGGCAGATTTCGTTTCGTTTCAGTTCATTTCGTTTCGTTTCGTTTCTATTTCGTTTCGCACTTTACAGGTACCCGGCAAGAACATTTCCAAAATTATTATAAAAATGTACCTAATACTTCACAGATCACAGAGGACATTTCATTCTTTCATAGAAAAAAATTTCCATAAAACGAATTTAAATAAATAAAAGAAAATATTAGAGGGAAAAGAAGCACTGCATCATAAAATCTAGCGATTTAATGAGCATCGCCAACAATTATAGCTTGACACTTTATTTTCTGATGACTCGGTTTCAAGTTAGGTAAAGGTCCCTTAAAGACCCATTAGGGAAAACCTACCGAAACAGCCCAATTTCTTTCCATAAAATCCGACTCGACAATTACAAGCAGGAGAAGTTCCTTGAAAGGTACAGTAGGAAAACGTATTGTTACAGTTGTGCTGATTTTGGACGCAGTCACATGATGCTCCATAAAATCCCGCCTTGCAAGTGCATTCCCCTGTCGTCTGGTTACAGGATTTTGTGTTGTTGTTGTTACAACTACATGGGACACAGTCGAAAGAAGTCGCATTGAAAAACATCATGTTAGGACAATCTGGAAAAATATTAATGGGAGGTCATGTAGATACATGGTTGCTGATTTGTGGAATAGAAAAATATAAGTTATACCTCATATATTATATATTTTCGGATGAAAAAAATTATATACATGTGCACAGTGCATTATTATTAAGATTTTGATTATGCAGAAGCTTATGTACTGGTGTTGTAGAGTGGGATTTCTCCAAAAGCCTAATTTTTTCCTGGAATCTATACTTCAAAGTAAGATTTCCAATCATGGGAAAAATGTACAATCTAAAACATCTATTTATTTCTTTTTAAGAGTCTTGGAATTCCACTTCTGTGAGAAAGCTGAATTATATAACAATTTATAGATAGTAAATTGGTCTAATAGAAATCGCAACACATTGCTTTTTAACAGTGGACCTTTCCCCGCATACCGATGGTAAAATTAATAAATTGGAATTTCCTTGGAAGAAAATCTACTCATTAGCCAATTTTCCGTATGGAATATCGTACTTTAAAGTGTGTTTTCACGGGGGAATGGGAATCTCCCACTATAGTGTCGTTTTTTAACGGGAGAGAGGGGGATTTTGATAGATGATAACTTACTCTACAACACTAGTTCTATATTGATTCAAATTTTTAAAATTACGTGTACAATGCCAAAAAAGATGTATCTTTAAGGGGGCCGACTGTGGTTTTATTGTGTGAAAACTACAATTATAAAAACTCTTTATTTTTATACCATTTATAACTTACATTACTTTCAGTGTACATGCCAAGTTTGAGAAACATCTACCGTCCAGATATTTTTTAGAGACCGTCTCAAAATTTAGGTATATTTACTAAATGATTATATAGGAAATTGCCAAATTTTCGCACTTAACAGGAAATTATCAAAATAACATAACAGACTTATTGTTGAAACCATACATGATGAGCAATACTATGCTGTACATTATATGTAAGAAGCACAAAATTCTACCGTCTTGTTTTCGGAGGGAACATCTCAAAATGCCAAAAATTAACGAATTTTTCTGTTATTTTAGAGAACTACAAAAATGACGGATACAATGGATTTAGCCAAACAGATTTAAAAGAAGACGGAGAGATTCTCAATTTCTATATTTAAAATTTCAAGGGCATATATTTATAACTTTTTCTTTTATAAAATTGTTACTTCCCCTTCTTTTTGAGCTGTTATCTTAACGTCAAACACACACACACACACACACACACACACACACACACACACACACACACACACGCACACACACACACACACACACACACACGCACACACACACACACACACACACACACACACTATTACGACATCAATCTACCTATCAGTTGAAAAATCATTTTAAAAATAAGTTTTATACATAGAATTGTGGATAACCTTTTCAACCTCGAATTATAATTGTTTTAAATTAAGTTTAAATTGCTTTAAGACAGTAAATACGCTTTATTTTACTATGAAGCGCGAAACATTGCGCAATGAAAACCCCAGTCGGTCCCCCTTGAATTATGAAATTGTTTTAATGGGATCGTGTAACACACCCTACCGCTTAAACATGTTGCTGTTTCAGCTTTTGCCCGGGTTAGATAGAAGAAATAGTTATCATCCACTTTTTTCTCACACTTGGTGTAATTGAGATTAAGACGAGAAAACTCGTCTTTCATACACGTAGAATCCACTAATTCGGTATCAGGAGGAACTGCATATGACGACAGTTTGTTGTAGAACCTATGAATGAAATAAACAACATATTTTTTTCATTAAACACAGTAGTGTTGATTAAACATACTAGAATATCTCTATGCCATTCATATAGAACTAAGATGGTTTCAGAAGAGTTACTGAAAATCAATAAAATACTATAGGTACAAAATTGAGCTAGAAAGTTCATAAATATTGCAATTATCAAGTTTCTATTTATTCTTAAAATACACAGATCCGCAACGTTGAACATCTTTTTGTACCTTACATGCACTGTTAATTAAATTGTATTTCCTTTTACCCCAAGGTTTCTCGTTAATCAAAGCATGCTCCAGAGGCTTTGACAATGTGTAGTACTAGTTCATAGTTCAACGACTGAATGAATTTGATTCTTTTTATTAAAAAAAGATGAGTTAATAATGAATGAAAAGCGATAAGTTGATGTGTATTATATATTTTCAAAAATGAACAGTAACAAGTTAAACTATGCATTTCACTTACGTCGGTAGTCCCAGTCGTTCACAAACACCATAATACTGCGGGTTAGAGTATCGTGGTGCATAGCCAGATATCCATGAATCTCCTATTCTGTATTTCACGTTTTTATAACTTGATGTCAGATTTCTTGTCGAATTCAGTCTCATAGAATCTACAAAAATATTATATTTATGTTATATGGGATCAAACAGAACTTCTAGAAATGAAACATATGGATATAACGAACAATATTCAAGATCAAAAGTCCAATAAACAATACAAAATAGTAACAGAGCAAACAAGAACTTCCAAAACATCAGAGGTGGGATCATTTGCCATGTAGGAGTGAGTATCCCCTGCCAACCGGTCACACCTACCGTGTGCTCCTTGTCATGATGGGGAAATAACGGGAAAATCCTTCGTCAATTCAGCGTATAAATATTGGACTATCTATTAGTATGAAAAATGTTAGTCAGCATTTGACTCAATGATAAATTGTATTTGCTGTATCGACCATAGAACTTACGAAATGATGACTTTAAACGAGACTGATGGAATTTTCGTTTCATCAACTTGTTTGTCAATAATTAACCTTGTTGTAGAAAGTGTTCATACGTAGCATGCTCTTGTGTATCTAATCACTGAGATATGTAAACTCCGTATGCAGGTGATGAAATAATATATTGCTGCATAATATAAGGAAGGGAAGTTGACGATAGAAAAGTTTAAGTCATCACGTTTATCATAGAGCTTGGTTGCTTGATTACATTAACGTTTTTTTAAGTAAAGTATCTAAATATAAAACAGATGTGTCAGACTCTGTGGTATCTTTTATCTCAAGCTCACCAGGATATATCGTATCGACAGAAGAATGGGAATAACCATTGTTAATTGACAGTATGTTGTCGATATATCTAAATGTCGAGCTGAAGGCCACAGCAAGTGTTTTTTTCTTCTTATGCCTAATATTTTGCACAAATTCTGCTTCATATGAATACAAAAATGGGTCTGCTCATAACGGGGCGCAATTGGTACCCATGGGAATTTCAATAGATTGTTGGAAGACCTATTCTCCTAAAACAACATAGATATTATCAATCAGAAACTCAAGCATCTTTTTCGACTTCGGAGTACTCATGTGTACAATCAAAATGCTTTTTAACAAAATAATTTTGCAAATGAACAATGACAAGGTACGTAAATTTTCGAATTCAAGTGTTATTGAAAAAGCAGCTGTCAATGATATCGAAAAGTCTGGACTTTAATTTATCGTGGGGAATTTTAGTATATAAAGTTGAAAAGTCATAAGTTTTTTAGCTGTTGATTTTGGTAAAATCTTGTGATTTCAAATTGTCCAAAAGTTCCTTGGAATTTTTAAGTATCCACATCTGATTTACACTACTTCTTGAATATATTGTTGCACATTACTCTTGAAGTTTCTCTTTCACTACTGTTAATATATCTCAGTGAGAAGTAAAGAAAGATGTTTGATTTAACATTTACTGGAACCTGCTATGTATTCATTCGATATTCAAATATTTTCTTTAAAAAAAAGTACCTTCACAATTGAATCCTCGGTTTTCGTAGCCAGGTTTACATAAGCACCTGGTGCCGTTTTCGTTGTCTTGACAAAATGCCACATCGATGTTACAAGTATTTATCTTACAATTGCAGAGATCCCCTTCATAACCAGATTTACAGATACATTTTCCGGATCTTTTGTCACATCGTTCTGTGTTTGTTACATTACAAAGACAGTCATAGCATTCGTTTTTGCTGAAGTATGTCCAGTCAGGGCATTCTAAATTCATAAAAGAGCAAAAATTATATTCATAGTAAACA